CAACCTTGGTCCCTTAAGGTTTACCTTGTGTATATTGCCTAAAGAGGTTGTTGTATCCTAAAGCCTACTACTGTTCCCTTCCCTTCCTCCCTTCCCAAGAGGGCCTTGGTATAGCCCAAGCTGGTCTCAAACTCTCGATTCCACTCCCCTCTTTCCCCATAGTACTTTTACAATCGCCCTATCCAATTAGGATGGTGGGGTTGGGTTTGTTTCAAGTACAGAATACTCATATCAACATCCAGACCAGTCAATTAAAGCTCTCCAGTGTATTTGACAGAGATAAAGGAAATAAACCAAGATTGGTGGTATGTGCCTATAGTCCAACTGAGGAGGCTGAAGTGGGAAGATGACTTGAACTAGGAGTTTGAAACCAGACTGGGCAACAAAATGAGACTTAGCTAAAAGCAATGCAACACACAAAAACTCCACAAAATTACATCTATATCTATATCTATGTAATTTTCTGGTGGTGGTTATTGTTGTTGGTAGTGGGGCTTGAACTCTGGGCCTGGATGCTGTCCCTGAGCTCTTCAGCTCAAGGCTGAACTAAGCACCATTTCTGGTCTTCTGGTGGTTAATTGGAGATAAGAGTCTCATGGACTTTACTGTCTGGGCTGGCTTTGAACCACGATCCTCAGATCTCAGCCTCTTGAGTAGCTAGGATTCCAGGTATGAACCACTGGTACCCGGCTATGTTTTATATTTTGATGATAGTACTGGAGCTTGAACTCAGCGCCTGGGTGCTGTCCCTAAGCTTTTTTGCTCAAGGCTAGCGCTCTATCACTTGAGCCACAGCTCTACTTCTGTTTTTTTTTGGTAGTTAATTGGAGATCAGAGTCTCAGGGACTTTTTGTTCAGGCTGGCTTTGAGCCATGATCCTTAGACTTCAGCCTCCTGGTAGCTGGTGTTACAGGTGTGAGCCACCAGGCTTGGCTGGAACATTTCAGCAGTTATGCTGCAGACATATGATAGACTTTTCCCAGTTGGAGTAGGCGCTGATCTACTGCTCTGGTAACACTAAAACCAGTGATCTTGGATGCAGAGGTGTAACGACCTAAAGGCAAAGTAGAGAGACTGCTAGAAGTAGAAGCAGAGGCTGCCTCTGAACGCTGCCATGTGATGGGATGGGAAGCAAGTCACTGCACTTTGCCCCCAGAAAAATCCAAGAAAAGCTATGCAGCGCCTCCTCAATAGATTTTTTTTTTCTTGTCAGTTGTGGGGCTTGAACTCTGGACCTGGGCGCTGTCTCTCAGCTCTTCAGCTCAAGGTGAGCACTCTACCACTTGAGCCACAGCACCATTTCCGGTTTTCTTTGGTTCATTGGGAATAAGAGCCCCGAGGACTTTCCTGCTTGGACTGGCTTTGAATCTCGATCCTCAGATCTCAGCCTCCTGAGTAGCTAGGAATACATGGGTGAACCATTAGTACATGGCCTTCCAGTGCCATTTTGGAAGTGCATGGAATATTGCTAGTAGTCTGAGTGGTTGGAGGCAGCTATTGGTATTGAGTAGGTGAACAGTGAATACTAGTTGTCTTTCAGTACACAGAACAGACCACAAAAGATTGGCCTATATCCTATGTGACTTCTTGAATTTTTTTTTCCTTTGAGTCTCACTCCTGGATTAAAAAAATCCTCGTAAAAATAAAAAAAAAAAAATCCTCGTGCCCCAGCCTACCAAGTGGCTAGGACTATAAGTATCTCCCTGTAGTACTGGGATTACAGGAATGCACCATCACACTCACCCAAAATTATCTTAACATGAAACACTTCTGTCCTAAAACAAACAAACAAACATTTATTTTTGCAGGTTTGTTTTTCTTTTTCTTTTTTTCTGGTGCCAGTTCTGGGACTTAAACTCAAGGTCTGAGTGCTGTCCCTGAGCTTGTTTTTTTTTTTTTAATTATGAAAATACCGTACAGAGGGGTTACAACTACATGGGCAAGGTAATGAGTACATTTGTTTGTTTTTTTGGGTCCGTCATGGGGCCTGAACTCTGGGCCTGGGTGCTGTCCCTCAGCTCTTCAGCTCAAGGCTAGCGCTCTACCACTTGAGCCACAGCACCACTTCTGGCTTTTTTCTTTTTGCTTATGTGGTGCTGAGGAATCGAATCCAGGGCCTCTGGCATGTAAGGCAAGCACTCTACTACTGAGCCACCTTCCCAGCCCCATGAGTACATTTCTTATCAAGCATTGTTGCCTCCTCCCTTGTTTCCCCTTCCCAACCATTCCCATCTCCTCCCTCCCCGCCCCCCCCCTTTTTTAAATGTGGGGTTTTTGTTTGCTCTTTTTTTTTGTTAGTTGTGAGACTTGAACTCTGGGCTTGGGTGCTGTCCCAGAGCTCTTTAGCTCAAAGTAGGCACTCTAACACTTGAGTCACAGCTCTACTTCTGGCTTTTTCTGAGTAGTTTGTTGGAGTTAAGAGTTAAGAGTCTCAGACTTCCTTGCCAGAGCTGGTTTTTAACTGTGATCCTTGGATCTCAGCCACCTGAGTAGCTAGGATTACAGGAGTGAGCTACCAGTGCTGGGCTATTTTTGTAGTTTTAACATCCACTAACTTTTCTAGAAATGTACTCAAAGATAGAGGTGATAATTTGTTCAGAACAGTTTTTTTTTTTTTGGGGGGGGAGGCTGTTACAAGGGGCAATGCTGTTTGAATTGACTATCACAATACATTATCTTGCCAGTCTGCTGGTCAAATTCAAGGTAATCTGAGGGTAGTACTGTAATGACCTCAGGGTTGAGAAAATCCAGAGGCATGGGCAAAGGTGGCAAGGAGTTTTATTTGGCTGGCTGTGACTGCCTTGTCCAAAAGCAGCCTAACCTCCAGTAGGGCAGAGTTTATACAGGGCAGAACTACATGTAGGTGCAGTTTACAGAAACTCAAAGATGATTGGGAGCGGGGATATTCTTCAGCTGTGGTCAGGACCAGGCAGACCACATTCTGGAAGCCAGAGATTCAGGATTAGAGTTGGGGGTTATCAAGAATGAAAAAAAGCTGGGCTATTACAGTACAAGCACCCGACAGTTCGTGTGTCTTTGGACACAGACAATGACACACACACACACAACACACACACACACATTTAACTAGGAATTTTTGTCCACTTGCATCTTCTGAACATTACAGTTGAGGTATTTGTGTGTGTGTGGATGTGCCAGTCCTGGGTTTGAACTCGTGGCCTGGGCGCTGTGCTCATAGCTAGTGTTCTACCACTTTGAGCCACAGAACCATTTTTCATAATCAGAGCCGAGTCTCATGGACTTTCCTGCCCAAGCTCACTCTGATCTACAATCCTCAGATCTCAGCCTTCTGAGTAGCTAGGATTTCAGGCCTAAACCACCAGTAGCTGGTGGTATTTAATTCTTTGGAATGAATGAGAGTAGGTAGGTTATCAGCTATGGCTTTATTCATTGACTGAATTTATTGTAAAAGTGATGAGCAGGGGGGATACAGTTACATAAGGTATGAGTACATTTCTTCTTAAACATTGTTAACCATTCCCTCCTTTTCTCCTGCTTACAGCTATAGCTTTTATTTAAGGGTAATTGAGGAGGCATTACAAAAAAGGGAAATGGGCAAACACTTGAGAACCACTGGTTAAGGCTTAGTAAAAGGCTGCTCACTGGAGCTGAGCCCTCATGCTAGGTCAGAGAAGGAAACACTTGTTGTTTTTTGTCAGCTATAGGGCTTGAACTCAGAGCTTGGGCACTGTCCCTGAGCTTTTTTGCTCAGGGCTAACACTCTTACCACAAGCCCTAGTGCTACTCCCAGCTTTTTCTGAATCATTTATTGGAGATAAGAATTTATTGGGGGGGAGGGGATGGGAAGGTGGCTCCATGGTAGAATGCTTGCCTTGTATGCATGAGGCCCTGGGTTCGATTCCTCAAGCACCATATAAGCAGAAAAAGCCAGAAGTGGCACTGTGGCTCAGTGGTAGAGCGCTAGCCTTGAGCTGACGAGCTGAGGGACAGCACCCAGGCCCAAAGTTCAGGCCTCACAACTGACCATATAGATAGATAGATAGTATTGGAGATAAGTACTTTCCTGCCCCGGCTGGCTTCACACTGCAGTCCTCAGATCTTAGCCTCCTGAGTAGGTAGGATTACAGGCATGAGCCACAAGGGCCTGGCTAAGGAACACTTCCCCCCAACCCCTTCAGTGGTTGGGACTTGAACTCAGGGCCTAGGTGCTATCCCTGAGCTCTTTTTGTTCAAGGCTAGTGCTCTACCACTTTGAGCCACGGTGCCTGGCTAGGAAACACTTTTTGTTCTATTTGTTTTCTGCATTCTACCTTTACCCCAGGGCTTAATGTTACATTTTGCTCCATTGGTCAATGTGGCAGTGGAGTGTAGCTCTGGCAGAGCACCTGCTTAGCACGTGTGAGACTGAAGATTGTGTGAGGACAGGGGTTCCATCCCCAGCACCAGAAACAAATGTATAAACCAACTGGCAAATGGGTCTCTGGGTAGCATTGCTTTCTTGTAATCATACAATAAAAAGTCAGGTATGTGAATACCTCGCCAACTTGGTCCTGAGAGGAGAGTATATGGTGGATCACAACTGTGCAGAACAAGTCTGTGTATAAAGCAGAAGAGCTCAGCTCTGTATCCAGAGACTTAGAGCCACAGCCCATGAAAATTGCTTTAATGACCGTTTTATGGGTTTATACCCCCTGCTGATAAAACATATTAGAAAACGGAAGAGTTTCACAGTGGTAACATATAATTTCATAATACTGAGTTAGATATTAGAAATGTGTGAATTAGGCTCTCTGTATGTCCCTGCGGCCTGCAGAACTTAAAAATAAAATTCATTAGCTTAAGAAATGAGTTCGTGGCCATAAGCAACACTCAACTAGTCACCTTCTCTCTAACATCGTGTCTAAAATTCTGTCCTCCTACTTACAGAACAAAAGCAGTGAGTTGAAGATATGATAACTTTGGGGGGCAATGAAGAAAGGGGTGCACTGTACTCATAACCTGATGTGTGGAATTGAAACCCCTTTGTACACTTTTTTCCCCGCCATGGCTGAGGACCGAACCTGGGCCTTGCGTGCGCCGGGCGGGCGCCCTTCTGCCCAGTCCCTGTACACTACTTATTAAGACAATTTTTTTTTTTTTTTTGGTCGGTCATGGGGCTTGAAATCTGGGCCTGGCCGGGCGCTGGTGGCTCACGCCTGTAATCCTAGCTACTCAGGAGGCTAAGATCTGAGGATAGCGGTTCAAAGCCAGCCCGGGCAGGAGAGACTGTGAGACTCCTATTTCCAATAAACCACCAGAAAACTGGAAGTGGCGTTGTAGCTCAAGTGGTAGAGCGCTCGCCTTGAGCTGAAGAGCTGAGGGACAGTGCCCAGGCCCAGAGTTCAAGCCCCACGACCAACAAAAAAAAAAAAAAATCTGGGCCTGTACGCTGTCCCTGAGCTCTTCAGCTCAAGGCTAGTGCTCCACCAATTGAGCCACAATGCCACTTCTGGTTTTTTGGTGGTTAATTGGAGATAGAGTCTTATGGACTTTCCTGCCGTGGCTGGCTTTGTACCGCTCAGACTTCAGTCTCCTGAGTAGCTAGAATTACAGGCATGAGTCACCAACATTCAGCGACCATTTTTTTTCTCAGCCATTTACAAGTACTTTTCCTTATTTATTTCAGGGGGTGCTGTGGATTGAATCCAAGGCCTCATGCATGCTAAGCATGTGTTCTACCAACTGAGCTACACCCCAGCCAGCCCTGACAGGTTTTTTTTTTTTTTCTTTGGTTATGGCACTAGGTTGGAACTTGGGGCTTTGTATTCTAGTACTAGAACCATATCCCTAGCCCCGGATACTTTCTTTTTTTTTTTTTTTGCTAGTCCTGGGGCTCAAACTCAAGAGTTCAGGCACCGTCCCTAGGCTTCTTTTGCTGAATGATAGGACTCTACCACTTGAACCACAGTGCCACAGCCTTTTCTGTGTATGTGGTACTGAGGAACTGAACCCAGGGCTTCATGCATGCTAGGCAAGCACTCTACTGCTAAGCTACCTTCCCAGCCTGGACAAGTACTTTTTTTTTTTTTTGTCGGTCATGGGGCTTGAACTCTGGGCCTGGGCGCTGTCCCTGTGCTCTTCAGCTCAAGGTGAGCGCTCTACCGCTTGAGCTACAGCGCCACTTCCGGTTTTCTGGTGGTTTATTGGAGATCAGTCTCTCAGACACAGACTTTCCTGCCCGGGCTGCTTTGAATTGAACCGTGATCCTCAGATCTCAGCCTCCTGAGTAGCTAGGATTACAGGCGTAAGCCACAGGTGCCTGGCTTGGACAAGTATTTTTAAACACAGAACATGAACACAAGTACTTCTGAGGCGAAGACCTGCTAGTACAGCCCCATCATTTGAAGTAGGAGGAATAGCTTTTGTGGAGTTAGCATAAGTGAGGCTTCCAGCCAGTGCGAGGAAAACAAGCTGGAGGAGTAGAGCAGAATGCAGTAACAAAATAATGAGGTGGTTGGAGGTATTTACTGACAACAAAACCCAAGGCCAGCATGCATTCCTCCGCGGCAGGTTTCTGGCTGGAGCTATGTGGCATCTTGTCTGGCTCGTTTAGGGCTCTGCAGGTCCCTGGGCAGGGAATGGTTCCTGGCTGAAACATTGCGGAGGGATCGCAAGCTTTGCATCTGCTGTAGGCGTAGGGCGAGCTCCCGGTTACAGGCTTGCTGAACCGTTTCCGTCTTCTTTAGGTCCCAGTTCAAAGCCACAGCCAGTGCTTGGGGCTCTTCCTCAGAAACCAACTGCGACAAGAACAAAACCCATGAAAACCACTGCTTCTGTGCCCTCACCTGAGCTTCCACGGTTCTCTTTAGGAAAGCAAGTCAGGGTATGTTATATCTGCCCTGAAACGTCAGCTTTCTTTTACCGTGTGGCCACCTGCTGTCTCCCTTCCCCCACCCCCACCCTATTCAACATAACAGGAAACTGAGCTATGTTCAAGTAAATACAAGTTCCTTCCCTTCTGTCTACAACAGGGAGGTATTCAGGAGATGGGGGAGGAGGGGACAAGGACAAAGGTTAAAAGTAGCACCCGCTCATTGTCAAGCTTCTAGTTCTTTGGTCTAAAGATAGCCAGCACAAGATGATCCTTGCAAGTCAGCCTTATCTATTTGCTTATTTTTGGTGGTACCAGGGATTGAACCCACAATTCCACATATGCTAGGCAAGTGCTCTACCACTGTGCTGTATCCCCAGCCCTTAGTTTGCCTTCTGATGTGCTATTCTGCAGGCCTTGGAATTAACTACTGGGCCTTTGTCCCATGACAACTAGCAGAGGCTGCCTCAGATGCCTGTACCTTGCTGCCCTCCCTGTTCGGTGTGGGCCAGGGTATAATGAGCTGAGGAAGTATACCCGTTTTCTTGTAAAAGCCATCGTGATTAAAGGAGTTATGTGTGAATGCTTTGGGTGTACAAGGCCAAGCTGGCATCTATCATCCAGGGTCTGCAGAGGTGGGGAAGGAAGTCCCACCATCTCTGCAGTCATCTACATCTCCACAGCAAGTCTTCCTCCGCAGCTCAGAGTCCCTGATTCTCGCCCACCTCCAAATCCTGACTAGATAAACTCAGCTCTGGAGCCGGCTTCTCCTTCAGGGTGGTAAGGATCTGGCTTGTCAGAGCAATTTTGGAAGCAATCTCTCTGCCGCTGCCTGTGTCCACAGTATCCACCTCTTCGCTGAAGGCTGCTTTGGACTCTGCAAAGCAGACAGAGCAGAGATCAGCACGCTGCCAAACCACATGGCCACATAACCCATCAGGCAAGAGGGAAATGGCGCTACGGGGGTTTTGGCTGTCCTACTGTCTTCTCTTGAGGGAAGGAAGGCTCCTGAGTTTTCTGAATGTCCACTCCCACCCCCAGCCACCACAGTGGGAGCCCTACCTTTCTGCATGGACAAGATGCCACCCTCCTTCTCCAAAGCCTGGAGATAAAGCTCCAGAAGCTGCTTGGACTGGCGGGCTTCCTCTCTCTGGTCGAGGACCTGCTGAAGTGTGTTCTGAAGACCCTGGACAGTGGCACAACTTTGGCCAAGTTCCTGAGCCAGGTCTGAACATGGTACATCGATGAGCACCTGCAAAACCACCAGGACTCTAAACATGGAGCTCTTTCTCCCAAACATGTCCATTCAGAACTAACTCAGCCACTCAGTGACCTATTCTGGCTGGCTGAGGACCCAGAGAGAGGCACTCAACTCTTCCGAGATTATTCTAACATGGGAAAATGATGTCTTGATGCTTTATTAAAAACAAGATCAGACAGATACCAGTGGCTCACAGCTGGAATCCTAATTACAGATATTAGAAGATCCTGGTTAGAAGCCAGCCTGGGCAGTAAAAGACATCAAAACTCTTATTAACCAGCAAAATTGCCAGACTAAAGGTATGATTCAAGTGGTAGAACAGGAACTGTGAACAAGAAAGCTGAGCAAGAGATCCTAAATTCAAGCACTGGCACTGGCAAAAAAAAAACCCAAAACAAACCCCAATTTGTTTACAAAGCTATACATAAATGTGCGCGCACACACACACGCACACGCACACGCACGCACGCACGCGCGCACACACACACACACACACACACACACACACACACACTGAATCAATAGAAATGTTTTAAGCAGGGCTGGGAATGTGGCTTAGTGTTGCCTAGCATGCATGAAGTCCTGGGTTCGATTCCTCAGTACTACATAAACAGAAAAAGCTGGAAGTGGTGGTGTGGCTCAAGTGGTAGAACATTAGCCTTGAGCACAGAAAGGCTCAAGGACATGAGTTCAAGCTCCAGAACTGGGAAAAAAAAAAAAAAAAAGAAAAGAAAAGAAAAAGAAAGCAAAAGTTCCTCTAATGATTTTTTTTTTTTGGGTCCGGTTGTGGGGCCTGAACTCTGGGCCTGGGCTCTGTCCCTCAGCTCTTCAGCTCAAGGCTAGCTAGTGCTCTACCACTTGAGCCACAGCGCCACTTCCAGGTTTTTTCTTTTTGCTTATGTGGTGTTGAGGAATTGAACCCAGGGCCTCATGCGTGCAAGGCAAATGCTCTACCACTGAGCCACCTTCCCAACCGTCCTCTAATGATTTTAACATTAAATTTTTTTAGCTATACTTGTTCAGAGCTTTAAAATACTTTGTTTTAAAAATGCAACCTAAAGCAGGGAGCTAGTGGTTCATGCCTATATTCCCAGCTACTCAGGAAGCAGGCAGAAAAGTCCATGAAAGTCTTATCTCCAATTACCCACCAGAAATCCAGAAATAGATCTGTGGCTGAAGTGGTAGAGTGCTAGTCTTGAGCACAAAACCTCAAAGCCCTGAATTTAAGCCCTAGGGCTGGCACACACACAAAAAGAACTGTTGAGCAAAGGGGCCAGGCACCTGTAGCTACACCTGCAATGCAATCCTTTCTACTCAGTAGCCTGGGCTATGAGGATCATGGTACAAAGCCAGCCAGGAAAGTTTGTGACTTTTTTTTTTTGGTCGGTTGTGGGGCTTCAACTTTGGGCTTGGGCGCTGTCCCTCAGCTCTTCAGCTCAAGGCTAGCGCTCTACCGCTTGAGCCACAGTGCCACTTCTGGTTTTCTGAGTGGTTTATTGGAGATAAAGAGTTTCACGGACTTTCCTGCTTGGGCTGGCTTTGAACCAAATTCCTCAGATCTCAGCTTCCTAAGTAGCTAGGATTATAGGCTTGAGCCACCAGCCTGGCTATGAGACTCTTTACCTACAATTAACCATCAAAAAATTGGAAGTGGAGCTGTGACTCAAGTGGTACAGGGTCAGCCTTGAGCAGAAACACTAAGGGCAAGAACCCAGGACTTGAGTTCAAACCCAGTTCTGGCACAAAACAATAACAAGCCAGCTGGGTGGCTCATGCCTGTAATCCTAGTTACTCAACAGGTTGTGATCTGGGGATCGCAGTTCAAAGCCAGCCCAGGCAGGGAAGTCTTTGAGCCTCTCATCTCCAATTAGCCACCAGAAAAACAGAAGTGGTGCTGTGGCTCCAGTGTTAGAACACCTGACTTGAGCTGAAGAGCTCAGGGACAGCACCCAGACTCAGAGTTCAAGCTCCACAACTGACAAAAACAAACAAACCAACAATTGCTGAGGCAAAGCACTTTCCTAGCTTGCACAAGGCCCTCCATTCAAATAGAGCACTGCAAACATGAGTAAATAAAAATTAAGCACTAAAGGCATCGCTAGTAGGATGCCTGGAAGGCTCGTGGCGGGGTGGCAGAGGCCGGCTGAGGCTCCCGCTTGTGGAGGGCTTACTTGGAGGTCCTCTTCTGAGAGCAGGATGATGTTGGACAGATCTTCTTTCAGCTGCCTGGCCAGGTTCTTCCATTTCGCTCCAGCCCCACTGTCTGTTTCATCCACATCAAAAGACCCCTGGGAAATCCAAGCTGTGCCACCATCTGATAGAAGGAAAAAGAATGCTGGTCAACGCAAGTTCAAGCACTGTGTGTGTCTCTTCTGATGACACACAGATTTCCGGACGATGAGTGTATCCTTCTAGACCACTCGGGACCATTCCACCAGGAGGACCCAAAGGAAAGCCAAGTCCCAGCTTAGGCTGTCATTTTCCTTCTTCTGACTTCAGTTTGTTTGTACATAACTGCTCTATATTCTTCGATGGGAAAAGGACACTTAACCCCAACGTCTGGCCCGAGGTCCTGCACCTCCCTTTCAATTATTTGTGTCTGGGTATTTTGTGTATATGTATGTGTGCTTTGAATTCAGGGCCTCACATATTGCTTGGGTTTTTTCAGTCAAGATTGGCCCTCTACCACATGAGCCATACCTTCCTGTCTGGCTTTTTGCTGGTTAACTGGATAAAAGAGTCTCATGAATGTTTCTGCCTGGGCTGGCTTTGAACCATGATCCTCATATCTTGGAGTAGCTAGGATTAGAGGCATGAGCCATCAGCACCCAGTTAAGGGTGTGTTGTTTCTGTACACTAAAACATTTATTTTCACCAGCATGTCTCCTGGGCATGGTATTTGCCATCCTTCATTGGAGCAAGCCATGTTTGCTGCCTTTGGCCCCATGTATAATGGTGGCTGGTAGAGACATTGCTAAAGGGTGATATCCTTAACTTAGAGGCACACAAATGGACTTTCTTAAAGATATTCCTTTAGTTCTTTGATCTTTTATCCCTAATATCAGTTGACTCTGAATCTCCAGTGATAACAGTGATAAGTAATAGTTCTTGAATCCCTATGTTGTGCCAGTTAAGACTGGTTGAGCATTACTAATGTGACACATTTGATAAAGACTAGAGACATTCTTGTTTGTCACAGCTGAGGCGGAGGTTTAGCACTGCACCCAGAGGTAAGAGAATGGGTGTTATAGCTAAAGGTTCTACAAAGTACACAGCAGCCTCTCCACTACTGAATTTTTCTGGGCTCTAATGTTAATAGCATCATTGAAAACTGGTTTGATTATATTAGCCTTACAACAGTACTAGGAGACAGGTCCTGTAATTTTTTTCTGTAGGTCCTGGGGTTTGAACTCAGGGCATGGGCACCGTCCCTGAACCTTTTTGTGCTTTCTTCCTTTTGAGCCATTGTGCCACTTCTAGCTTTTTCCGAGAAGTCTATGGGCTCAGGCTCTGAGTAGTTTGCTCTGCCTGGTTTTGAACCAGGATCCTCAGATCTCAGCCTTCTGTGTAGCTAGGATTATAGGTGTGAGCCACTGGCACTGGCTTGTAATTATTATGACAGTAAGGAAGTAAGAGGTAATGCAGTTTGCCCAGGTCACCTGACTAATAAATGGAAGAGCCAAGATTCAGGCCTTAGCAGCCTGACTCCATTCCAGCTTATCATATTGATTTCTCTGCCATGCTGCATTTCAGTTGCTGTCAGTATTTTAGTCGATTGAGAACCGTGTCTCATTCATCTTTATCCCCAGGACTTAACTCTGTGTCTGGCACACAGAAGGTGCTCAGATGAACACTTATTGTATAAGTGCTTTGACAACCACACAACAATAACCAGGATGTTACTGGCGCAGCAAAATAAATCATAAGATCAATACTGCTAGGGAATAAATTGGAACCACAATGAGATACCACAGCACTTCAGTGGCTACTATCAAAAAGCAAAAGATAGCCAGTCACTGGTGGCTCACGCTTGTAATCTTAGCTACTCAGGAGGCTGAGTTCTGAGGATTATAGTTCCAAGCCAGCCTGAGGAGAAGAATCCCACAGATGCTTATCCATAATTAACCAGTAAATACCACATGTGGAAGTATGGCTCAAATGGTGGACAGCCAGTCGTGAGTGAAAAAGCTAATAAGCAAAAGCATAAGGCCCAGAATTCAAGCTGCAGTACTGGGGAAGAAGAAAAAATTAAAAAAAAAAAAAAAAAAGAAAACGAAAAAGAAAAAGACAATGTGGAGAATCCTTACACAGTGTGGTATAAATATAAATTAATATAATCATTTAAAAAATCATGGACTGGGCGCCAGTGGCTCATACCTGCAATGCTAGCTACTCAGGAGGCTGAGATCTGAGGATCATGGCTTGAAGCCAGCCCAGGCAGCAAAGTCCATGAGACTCTTTTTTTTTTTTTTTTTTTTTGGTCCGGTCGTAAGGCCTGAATTCTGGGCCTGGGCGCTGTCCCTCAGCTCTTCAGCTCAAGGCTAGCACTCTACCACTTGAGCCACAGTGCCACTTCCGGCTTTTTTCTTTTTGCTTATGTGGTGCTGAGGAATCAAACCCAGGGCCTCAGGCATGCAAGGCAAGTGCTCTACCACTGAGCCACCTTCCCAGCCCTCCATAAGACTCTTTTTTTTTTTGGGTCCGGTTGTGGGGCCTGAACTCTGGGCCTGAGCGCTGTCCCTCAGCTCTTCAGCTCAAGGCTAGTGCTCTACCACTTGAGCCACAGCACCACTTCCAGCTTTTTTTCTTTTTGCTTATGTGGTGCTGAGGAATCGAACCCAGGGCCTCAGGCATGCAAGGCAAGCGCTCTACCACTGAGCCAACTTCCCAGCCCTCCATAAGACTCTTATCTCCAATAAACTACTCAGAAAAAGCCAGAAGTGGCACTGTGGCTCAAGTGGTTGAGTGCTAGCCTTGAGCAAAAGAAGCTCAGGGACAGCACCGAAGCCCAGAGTTTAAGCCCCAGGACTGGCAAAAACAAAACAAAAAATCATGGCAGATGTGGTGTATATGGCTAGCTTTTCTTACCTGAATTGTTGTATGTCCACTTTTCATTACAAGCCAAAGCCACAAACTTAGTATTGGAAGGAAGACAAAGGAAGTAATCGTCATCATCCACTATGGTACCATCTTCTGCTAGGACCAGGGTGATTGGTGTTAGGTTCTTATCAATGGCCAGAATCTCACAGGCTGAAAAGAAAAAATGATTTACCACTAAGTATATCTGTATATATTTGTATTTTACCTGTCCTACTACTCTCAATATTCTGCCCTCAGAGCTGCATAGAATTCCTGCTCAATAACAACCACTATGGTAACAACTATATAACTATTAGCACTCATATAGTATTTACATATGCCCATACTGTTCTAAATGTTTTTCATGTAAAAAAAAAAAAAAATCAATCCTGCCGGGCGCTGGTGGCTCATGCCTATAATCCTTGATACTCAGGAGACTGAGACCTGAGGATCGCGGTTCAAAGCCAGCCGGGGCAGGAAAGTCCGTGAGACTCTTATCTCCAATAAACCACCAGAAAACCGGAAGTGGTGCTGTGGCTCAAGTGGTAGAGCGATCGCCTTGAGCTGAAGTGCACAGGGACAGCGCCCAAGCCCAGAGTTCAAGCCCCACGACTGACAAAAAACAAAAACAAAAAAATCAATCCTATAACACAGGTATTATGATCCCCCTCCCCCTTTTCTGTGCCAATCCTGGGGCTTGAACTCAGGGCCTGGACACTGTCCCTAGGCTTCTTTTGCTCAAGACTAGCACTCTACCACTGGAGCCACACCTTCACTTCTGGCTTTTTTGGTAGTTTAGTGGAGATGGCTGGCTCAAACTGTGATCCTCAGATCTCAGCCTCCTGATAGCTAGGATTACAGGTGTGAGCCACCAGTGACTGACTTTTCAGTGGTCATTGTAAGTTCTCTTATGTGTCAATATGGGGAGGAAAGGAGAGAGGGAAGGAGGGAGAGGGGAGAGGACTCCTCCCCCCTTTTCTGCACCAGTTCTAGCCCACAGGAACTATAAGATGCAGATGCTTAAAGTTTAGGATCTTTCCAGTTTCTTTTTAAAAAAATTTGTGCAAAGAGTGGTTTTCACTGTAGTACTTCCACAGATGCATACAATGTATTTTGCTAAAGGTTATTCAATTACATTCTCCTTTTTAAACAGTATTTAGTGGGCTTTATTATGTTATCAGCTCTCTCTCTCTCTCTCCCTCCCTCCTTTCCCTCCCCCCCCTTCCTGCCATCTTAGGGTTTGAACTCAGAGCCTGGGTGTTGCCTCTGAGTTTTTTTATGCTCAAGGCTAGTGCTTTACCATTTGATCTACAGATCCACTTCTGGTTTTTGTGGTGGTTAACTGGAGATGAGTCTCATGAACTTTTATTGCCCCAGCTGGCTTCAAACCATGATACTCAGATTTCAGACTCCTGAGTAGCTAGATTACAAGTGTGAGCCACTGGTGTCTGACTCTCACCCTTTTTTTTTTCTTCTTTTGAGACAGGGCCTATATGCATTCCCTTCTCTCTTTTTTTTTTTTTTTTGTTGGTCGTGGGGCCTGAACTCTGGGCGCTGTCCCTCAGCTCTTTAGCTCAAGGCGAGCGCTCTACCACTAGAGCTATGGCGCCACTTCCCCTATATGCATTCTAGGCTGGTCTCAAACTTTGTGTATGAGCTGGAACTGGGGCTTGAACTCAAGGCGTCAATGTTTTGCTTAGCTTCACTGTTCAAAGCTGGTATTTTACCACTTGAACTATATCTCAACTTCCTGCTTTTTGCTGGTTAATTGAGATAAGAGTCTCTTAGAGGGCTGGCAATGTGCCTCAGTGGTAGAGTGCTTGCCTAGCATGCCTGAAGCCTGGGTTCAATTCCTCAGTACCACATAAACAGAAAAAGCCAGGAATGGCGCTGCTAGCCTTGAGCAAAAAAGAAGCTCAGAGACAGTGCCCTAGGCCCTGAGTTCAAGCGCCAAGACTGGCAAAAGAAAAAAAAAGTCTCTTAGATTTGTCTAACCAGAATGACTTCTAACAGTGATGCTTACAACTCATCCTCCTGAGTAACTAGGAATATAGGCCCACCACCAGTGCCAGGCATTGGTCTTAAATTCTTTTGAGATTCTCCTGCTTCAACCTCCAGAGTGCCGGGATTATGGGTGTGAGCCACATCAAATCATAGTATCTTTTCATTTTCACTATCACTGAGTCAAAAGCTTTCTCCAAGGGTAGGTGTACCATCCCATTGAATGACAGTAATGCCTAAAGCACTAACAAGCCTGGATTAAGAGACTACAAATATATGTCAGCAATGCTGTCACTCAAAATAGAACAGCTAGCTTCCTATAGACCCAGCTGCAGAGAACACACACCTCTGTGCCAAGGACATCCAGCCAGTGCACCAAGGGGCATTAAAATTGAAGTAACCCAATGCCAGGAAAAAAATACATCAACAGTGATGTGGCAAAATCCATGTCACCAAACCATTTAGAGAGCTTAGGTCACTCGTAGGCCTGATATCACCCATAAGGTATCTGTTGTGCCTTGGTGACAGGGGAAACACTGCCAGCGCTAACACAAATGCATGTGGCTGGCTCACACGTTAAGCCTGCAGAACTTCTTTGGATACATAATTTGTTGCTGCAGGATAATAACAATTGTAAGTCATTTGAATATATTATCTCATTTGAAAATCCCAACAACCCTTGGCAGCAGGGCTGGAAATATACCCAACTGGCTGATGAGATAATTAAAAACCAGAGGTGGTTAATTAAGTGCAAGGTCAAGTAGGGATGGGGTCAGGCCCAGAACATCTGGACCCTACAGTCTCTCTGATGATGGACCCGTTGGAGCTGATGGTGGAGCCCGGGCCGGGTTTGCCCTAGGCCCCGCCTTCATCAATTGGAGTGGCAGGAATACATGAAGCTCTGTTTGAACCACAATCGGGATTATTTTAAGCCAGACACTCAGCGGAGCCAGTGTTGATTTGTACTTTGCTCCTCGTCTTCATTTCTCCCATCGCTAGTCTCACAAGAGGCTAAGTTAAAGTGCCTGAAACCTGTCAATCACGCTGATCCACCTCGGCTATTTCTGTCCCGGGACTCCAGCCCAAGTCACCTTCCCTCCCACCCCCACCCCCACCCCCCACCCCCCAGGCCCCGCCGGACAAGTTCATCCTCATCCGAGCCTCGAGTTCAAGTCCCGGTCCCGTGCCAACCTTTGCTCCTGAGCTCCTCGAGGCAGGAGGCTGCTACGCCGTGCTGTTCGCGGCTCTGGTTGCGACGCAGCAGACATGGCTTGAGAGGTCGGGGGTCGCCGGGATCCGGGGCGCCGGAGCCCCGAGCCACCTCCATCCCCTCAAGGTGGAACCGGACGTACTCCGGGAAACAGCGCCGAGCTGGGAGCGGCCCGCGCGCCTCCACTCCCTCCTGTGGCATGCCGGGAGATGTAGTTTTCTCAGCAAATCACGCGTTAGGCCAAAGGTACGCTGGGAAATGTAGTTCTACTTGCTGCTAATCACGTGCGGCCCTGGAATTTGACGGGAGTCGTCCTCTCTGAGTTCAATCCCGAAGACGTCGGTGCTGGAGTTGGCTGGTGCTTGTTGGTTTTTATTGGGTGATGCGCGGTGGAACTCAGTGTCATGCACACTAGGTGTATGCACTACCACTGGACTGCATCCTCAGTCCTGCTTTTAACCCGTATTTAGGAGTCTCAATTGCACATTCAGAAATGAGTTATATAGGGGTTTATTTTGCATAGTCAAGCGCACGCATACATGTGCACCCTTGAATTTGTACCGCATCCTTAACTACAGATGCACATGCATACTTTTGATACTTAAATAAAAGTTGGTCACTGTGGCATGCTTACTATTTTTCTCTTTCCAACGTGAAGAGATCTTTAAAGGGTCCCAAATTTCAGGCTGACTTGATGGAAATCGGTTTTAAAATTTGAAGAGTGTAGTTTTTCACTCTTGCTGAAAATACAACCAAGTAACCTAAAGGAAAAAAGAGGTAACATCAGGTTTCTGCTGGTATTTTATTTCCGACTGTACCTGTGTAAATTGGGTTGGAATCTTGAAACAAAATGTGTAAATAGGGTTGGGAAGGTGGCTCAATGATAGAGCACTTGCCTTACATGCATGAGGCCCTGGGTTCGATTCCTCAGCACCACATAAGCAAAAAGACAAAAGCGGGAAGTGGCACTGTGGCTCAAGTGATAGAGCGCTAGCCTTGAGCTGAAGAGCTGGGGGACAGCGCCCAGGCCCAGGTTCAGGCCCCACAACTGGACCCCCCCAAAAATGTGTAAATATAGAAATAGACTAAAAAAAACTACAGTAGGCTATTGTTTTATACCACATTCTTGCTCTGGGATTCCCCAAGGGTAGAGAATTTGCTTAGCATCTATTTTATGTGTGGCTTGATTCTAGAAAATAAATAGAAATGGACATTAAGAATACTTATCCGGAGCTGGGAATGTGGCTTGGTAGAGTCCTTGCATGAAGCCCTGGGTTCGATTCCTCAGTACCACATACACAGAAAAAGCCAGAAGTGGTGCTGTGGCTCAAGTGGTAGAGTGCTAGCTTTGAACACAGAGAGGCTCAGGGACCGTGCTCAGGCCCTGAGTTCAAGCCCCAGGACTGGCAAAAACAAAAAACCCCAAAAAACTTATTTTGAAAGCCAGACATGGCGGTACTCTTGTAATCCAGCACTCAGGAGGCAGAGGCAGGAGGATTGTGAATTTAAAGCCAGCTTGGGCTACATAGGTCCCCAAAAAGCCAATCAACAGAACAAAAAAAGAAATCTAATAATTCAGCCACCGTAAGGGTATGCAGTAGATCTGCAACCAGACATAGAGCTCCCGCCCAGGATGGGAAATGAGGGAAACCGAGGCCTGGACATGGGCATGCTGCCCTCGAAGTCAAGGCCGCCTGGGGATGCCTTCCTTCTAGAGGGAAACCTCACCGACCTTCACTGGGCGCGGGGACCGAGTGTCGTAACTGCGTGCGTGCCTGTGGGTTCGTCCCGGGCTCGCAGGCGGCTGGGCGGGTCCGGGCCGGGCTGGACTCCAGAGCCTACAGAACTTTCTGGCAAATACTAGGCACTCTGAACGTTACGGAACGACTGAAAACTAATTTCCATGCTTCTTCACATTCGTTTATCATCACACTCATTTACTACTTAGGGTCCACTATGGGGACGCGCAGACATTTAATCCGAGAATAACGAGGATGCACACACGTGATGGCAAGGTTACCACCGCCGACTCCGGACCGCACGGCGACGCACGCGCGTGCCACGTCCCGCCCTCTCGCCCACGCCAGTGCCCCATCGACCGGCTCAATCCCTTCTGCTTTGGTCTGGGCCGCTGAGCGAGAGCGAGGGCACTTGGGAGAGAGCTCGTCCCGCGGCGGTTGATTAGTTAGGCCTCCGAAAGATGGCGTCCTCGGAGCAGGCTGAGCAGCCGAACCAGGTACGGGGAGTTGAACGGCCCCGCGGCGGCGGCGTCCCCAGCTGGAGGGGGCGCTCGGCGGGCTGAGGGGACCCCGAGCGCTCGGAGCCGCGGGGTCCCGGTTGCTGTCCCCGCCCGGGCCCCGCCCCTCTCCCGGTCCCCTCGGCGCGGCCCTTCCTCCGGCGGCCCCTCGGTGGCGGGACTCGGGGGGGGGCTCGGCCGCGCCCCCGCCCCGCTCCGGCCGGCCCCCCGCGCCCCCTCGAGCTGGTGGGGACGGTGGCGGGGCCCCCCGCTTTGAGGAGAGGCGGCGGGCGGGCGGCTCGGTCGTCCCGGCGGGCCCTCGGGGTGGGCCCGGCTCCTCAGGGCCCGGGGCCGGGCGGCCGGGTCGCGACCCGCGGGGTCTCGGGGTCCCCCCCGCCCCCCGCCTCAGCTCCGCGAGCGGCCCGCCGCCAGCCTCTCCGGCGTTCGTCCCCGTGGCGCCGCCCTCGCCAAAGTTGGAGGGTCCGGCGTGGACTCGGACCGCTCGGGGCTCCGGGGACGGCCCGGGCTCCGGGGCAGGAGCCGCGCCCGGCCCCGGGCTGGGGCCTCCCGAGCCCCTCCGGCGCTTCGCCTGCCGCTTCGGCCAAATCCTGCCCCAGGGAGGTCCGGTGCTGACGCCGGGGCTTGAACCCAGATCCGCGTGAGTCCACCTAGTCAGACACCCACGTTTCAGTTGAGTTAGGATTAGACCTAGAGAGTAGTAATCTAGTCAATGAAAGTTCAGCCCGGGCCGTCAGCGTGCACCCAGCATCTCCCCAAGCACCTTAAAGAGCTTTAGCGGTTTACTTCCCTTCCCTCCTCGGCCTGGGACTGCTGCTTAATGATTCTTACCGTCTGTCTCCTTCGTGATGAATCTGTTACAGGAATCGCACTTTAAGGAGTTGGAACGCTTAAAGGTGTCCTCCAGCTTCTGTGAGCAATTCAGGAAGATGTCAGCACTGTACAGCAACACCAGGGGTTCTGGAGATTGGGGTGTCTGAGAAGAGAGAGTCCTCTTTCTTGCCTGATCCCTCTTAGGTTGTTGCAATGCCCAGGCTCCTCAGGGTCGGGCTTTCTCTGAACTGTTCTGTTAGGAATGCCTTAGGCTGGTGTTCAAGGGTGGTTGGTGTGTTCTCAGTTCTTGATTCCTGTAGGATTCCTGGGTTTCACCAGTGCTGTGCGGGCTGCTGAAAGTCTTGCCCCATTGTCGTGCTCCAGGGATTCCTTCGGTTCTGGAAGTTGCGTTTGATTTTTCAGCCCTGCTTCCCCTTTACCCTCCCTTCCAAGCTGATAAAGTTGAGATTGCACCAGAATGCTCTGGCAGCATGGAGAAAACTTATACCCCTCTAGTTACGAAGCAGAGTCTGGGACTCTGGATCCTTCTGTCTCAGCATTCTCAGTATAGGGATGACAGATGTGCATGGCTGAACCAGGATAATTTGCATCTAAATGATGCAGTTATCTTTGGCAGTTGCCTATTTCATTTTCAAGTCCTTACCAACCTGATTATTTTTCATTTTTCCAGTCAAAGGTGGGTGGGATTGAAAGAGCCGTTTGGATAATTCCTTGAACCTGGTTGGTATGTGAAAAGAGTTGCATTGGGTTGGATCTGTGGAGCTGAGCCAGAATTCTGTCTCTCCCAAACAGTTTGGTAGTTGGCCCTGTGATATCGGCCTCTGTTCCCAGATGATGATAGGTGAACAATTGTCTTTCTTTGAGAGACAGTGTAGAGTTAGGATTCTAGTACAGGCTCTCAGGCAAGGCCCTCTGGCTTGGAATCCTAGCCTTATACTTACTAACAGTGTGATCTTGGATAGGTTACTTAATTTTTTTTTTTTTGGTCCAGTACTGGGGCTTGAACTTAGGGCCTTGAGTGCCTTCTCTTGGCCTTTTAGTTTAGGTTGGTGTGCTATCATTTAAGCCACACCTCCACTTGTTTTTTTGTTTTTTGTTTTGCTGGTTAATTGTAGATTAGTCTCAGAGACTTTCCTATGTAAAAGTATAAATATGTGGGGCTAGGAATGTGGCTTAGTGATAGAGTACTTGCTTTGCATGTATGAAGCCCTGGGTTCGATTCCTCAGTACCACATAAACAAAAAAAGCTGGAAGTGGCACCGTGGTTCAAGTGGTAGAGTGCTAGCCTTGAGCACAACGAGGCTCAGGGACAGTGTCAAGGCCCTGAGTTCAAGCTCTGGACTGGCAAAAAAAAATTTATATATATATATAAAATATGTGTATTTTTTACAGATCTCTGAAAATATCATCCTAGAATATTTCTTTCATAAAAGTAACATTATTCTCCATAACTACTATACCATTATCATGCATAAAGGTTTTTTTTGTGTTTGTTTTTTGCATCATCCTAGAATATTTCTTTCATAAAGTAACATTATTCTCCATAACTACTATACCATTATCATACATAAAGGTTTTTTTTGTGTTTGTTTTTTTGCATATCCTGGGGATTGAACTCAGGGCCTAGGTATTGTCCCTGAACTTCTTTTGCTCAAGGCTAGCACTCTACCACTTGAGCCACAGCACAGCACCACTTCTGGCTTTTTCTGTTTATGTGGTACTGAGGAATCGAACCTAGGGCTTCATGTGTGCTAGGCAAGCATTCTACCACTAGCCACATTCCCAGCCCATATATGAAGTTTAATACTGATAAAGTATGTTATTTAATATATATTCTACATTGTAATTTATTCCAAATTTTAATTCAGGGTTCAGTCAAGAAACAGATACTATTGGTTTTTCTCTTTAGTTTGTTTTAATCTAGATTTCCCCCCCCACTGAGTGCTGATGGTTCACATCTGTAATCCTAGCTATTTAGAAGGCTGAGAGCTGAGGATTGTGGATCAGAAACAGCCAGGGCAGGAAAGTCTATGAGATTCTCCAACTTACCACCAAAGTGGAGCTAGAGTGGAGTTGTGGTTCAAATAGTAGAGCACTAGCCTTGAGCAAAAATTTTGCTCAGGAACCAACATTAAGACCCTGAGTTCCGGAAGTGGCGCTGTAGCTCAAGTGGTAGAGCGCTCACCTTGAGCTGAAGAGCTGAGGGACAGCGCCAGGCCCAGAGTTCAAGCCCCACGACCGACCAAAAAAAAAAAAAAAAAAGAAAAACAAGACCCTGAGTCCCAAAGCCCCGGGACCACCACAATTTTTTCCCCTAAACTTCTTACTGTAGTTTGTACATATATTGGAGAGTACACAAACCGTGTATACAGCTTGGGGCATTTTCACAAAGTAAATAAGTATCTTTAATCAATAAGCAGATCAAGAGATCAGACTGGTTCTGAGTGTTGAGATGCATACCTGTAACCTCAGACCTAGGAGGCAGAGGCTGGAGGATAGTGAATTGGAGGCTAACGTAGGCCATGTAAGTAAGTTGCAGGTCAGCCCAAGCTCTGTAGGGAAACCCCCCCACCCTCTCTCTTGCCCTTGCCCTCGCTTCACGTGCACACGCTCTACCACTTGAGCCACAGTGCCACTTTCAGCTTTATCTGTTTATGTGGTGCTGAGGAATTGAACCCAGGGCCTCATGCATGTGAGACAAGAACTCTACCGCTGAGCCACATTACCAGCCCCAGAAACCCTGTCTTGAAAGAAAGAGAGAGAAAGAAAAAGGGAGGAAGAAGAGAGAGAAAGGAAAGAAGGAAGGAAGAGAGAGAGAAAAAAAAAGAAAAAGGAAGAAAGAAGAGAAAAAAGAAATCAGGCATTTTACTAGTATGCACAAAGCCTTGGGTTCTCTCTAGCACCACAAGAAATAATCAAATATTCCAATACTTCAACACACCCCCTCCTATTTCCATATCTTTCCTCTCAGTATCCTAACCCCCTAAAGGCTGATCTTATCTTGACTCAGTTTATCCCACTTTAATTTGATCTGTTTGTGGACTTTATGTAATGTGTGTCTGGCTTTTTTGTTGTGGTGATGGTGGTAGTGGTCAAAGGGCTTGAACTCAGCCAGGGTGCTGTCCCTGAGCTTTTTTTTTTTTTTTTTTTTTGTCAGTCTTGGCGCTTAACTCTGGGCCTGGGCATGGTGGGTCCCTGAGCTTCTTTTGCTCAAGGCTAGGTAGCACTCTACCATTTTAGTCACAGGACCATTTCTGACTTTTTTGTGTTTATGTGGTACTGAGGAATTGAACCCAGGGCTTCATGCATGCTAGGCAAGCACTATACCACTAAGCCACCTTCCGAGCCCCAGTAACACACATTTATTATCTCATATTTCATAGTTTCTGTGGCTTAAGAGTCTGGACACAGGGTAGCTGAGTCTCACCACGTACAGGCAAGGCTTGGGGGTTGGGGGTGGGGGTGGGGGTTGTGGTCTCATAGAGGGCTCAACAGGGCAATGGTTGGCTTCCTAGCTGATTCCTAGAGTTGAGTTCTTCATGGATTAGGGATGCTGTCAGCTAAAGGCCAGACTCAGTTTTTGGTCACATGGGACTTCCCATGTGCTTCTCAAAACCACTTGCTCCTCAAAGCCAAAATAGATACTGCAATCAGGTATCATGCCCATGTTGATGTAATTATATACATCCTGTTAACTATTCTACATGATCACAGATCTGCTAGGGAGAATCTGGGGAAGGGAATGATGTAAAGGTACCAGTTCTGATTTTCTGGTAGTTAATTGGAGATAAGAATCTCATAGACTTTCCTGCTGGGGCTGGCTTCAAACTGTGGTTCTCAAATCTTAGCCTTCTGAGTAAGTAGGGTTAAAGGTGTGAGCCACCAGTGCCAGCTGTCCCTGAGCTTTTTTCTTTTTTTTTCGGTCGTAGCGCCTGAACTCTGGGCCTGGGCACTGTCCCTCAGCTCTTCAGCTCAAGGCAAGTGCTCTACCATTTGAGCCACAGCGCCACTTCTGGCTTTTTCTGCTTATGTGGTGCTGAGGAATGGAACCCAGGGCCTCAAGCATGTAAGGCAAGCACTCTACCACTGAGCTACCTTCCTAGCCCCTCCCTGAGCTTTTGTGTTCAAGGCTAGTGCTTTACCCCTTG